CTGGACCCTGAATAGACCACTCAAACAGCAAAAAATTTTGCAAGTTATGTTAGTGGGAATAACAGTTTCTCGTTATGTAGATTGCTGACACATCAGTCATCATCCATCACTGCAAACACAACACGGATTATGCTCACGACAAGCAACAACATGTATGTACAGAATGATAACTTCGGGTGGTGAAATCTTCCCACATGGATCATGTGACACGACTACTTTATCGTATAACCCATCTTCGCATAATGCCCCTTGAGAATGTTTGTTCGAAGGTTTCCGAGTTTGACCACCACCTGTCCAAGTCCAACCATCATGATACTCGCTATGAAGCGGAAGACCACGATAGAGCTCACCTCGTCCACGGTCTCCTGATCTTGCCCGCAATCTCTCAACGCCCGGGCCACCAGTTGCAAGAAGCAGTCGAGATGGTAGTCAGTGATCGCCAGGACAGCATGAATTTCTTCTAATGATCGCCCGCTGTATTCAGAGGGTCCACCTAGGGTCTTTATGATGAAGTCCGTTTGAGCTTGCTTGATAGCCTTCAGTTTCGCGCCGGTGAAGAACGGGTTGATCCTCCTGTCACGTTCGACACACTCGTACAGTCGAGTGACGAATTCGTCGATGCCCTCGAGTCCACCAAGTCTCGAGAAGAGCTGGTCTTCACCTGCTCAGGATTCCAACCTGTCTTATGCCGCATCAGCATTCCTGACTCACCATCTTGCTTATCTCGTTTCTGCGCTAGCTCTCGGCGAAGTGCAAAACCAGTCGTGATATCACTCCTCACACTATTCATGACCTATAGATAAGCTGATGTTCCAACAGCGAACGAGGTCTTACCATAAGAGCGTCATCGATAGTGTCAGCATTCACGTCAATTTCTCGGCAACTTTCCGAGAAACAGTCCAGCATCTGTTATGATAACATCCCTAGAGAGCAGACAGCCTTTCCACCAACCCACCGCATCGACGTGATAATCCGTGATGTTCATGTTGTAATGAGCTGGGTTTGATTCCCGCGGGTCATAATGTTTCGGCCCTCCGAACGCTCC